GAAGCCTCCTGCTGTGACCTGGGCTTGAGTCTCTCACATTCTCTGCAGCATTTCTTTCATCTCTGCTTTTTCATCAGGTATTGGTTGAACTTGACTCCTTCAGATATAATGTGGAATACCTCTGATACTGGCTGGGCAAAATCAGCCTATGGCAGTGTTTTTTCACCTTGGATCTGTGGATCCTGTGTCTTTGTACACAATATGCCACAGTTTAAACCAGAAGTTATTGCAGAGGTGAGTAATCCCCACATCCCAGGCAATCCAAAGGTACAAATGGTACAATCCAAAGAAGAATGCCTATTCTTCTTCCCAGCTATTTTTCAAAACCACTCAATTGGACGATTCTCCTCAACACTGGCCTCTTGTGCAAGGCAGAAACCTTCATTTTCCCAAGAATACTGGAAAAGCTCTGGTTTAGTTCCCTATCACTAATTAGGCTTGAGCCTGGGACACAGACATCTTGAAAAAACCCAAAAAAACCCCTTAATTGGAACTACTGCTCTCACCAGTCCTTCACTTACATGAGTGACTTTTTTTGGACAGAAAGTTACATATTTTCTACAGGAGTTGGACTGCCTTGCACAGCATTTTTATGGTTTTCATCTTGCAGACATTTGAGCATATAAATTGTGTTCATCACCTGCACATTCACAAGGTCAGAGCCAGCATTACACTTTCTTTTCTAATAAATAACTTCCTATTTTTCTAGACACTCTCAAGATACCCCATCACCGCCTTCTGCACAGCTCCCACCGCCTTCCGCATGCTGGTCCAACATGATGTGAGCAGGTACAGCAGGGAGGGGAGGGAGGCTGGGCTGTAATGCTGGGACAGCTCTGGATGCTTTCTTCCTTAGCTTCCTGAATTCTCTTTTTCAGTTAAAGGAAACCTAACTAGCACAGCTTGCTCTCAGTAAAGAATGCTCACAGTTCTGAAATGTGAGAATAATTAGTCACACAGTGTGCTACTTGGGTGTCAGGACTGGGTCTTTGAAAAGGCAGCACAGAGGAAACAATGGAGGGTTTTTTTAAGTTGTCACTTCCTCTGAATTTAGGGTACACAGTTCTGTTTAAGCCAATGTTTTAGGCAGCATTGGATCAGGAGTACAGTGGAGTTGTTCTCACATACTTGAGAATGAAGGGAGCAGTTAGAGAAGTTTCACATGCTGAGAGTTATTTGGTAGCTGTTCCCACCAGTTTGTTATTCTGTAAAATACCCAGATTGTGAGAATTGGTTTGTAAGGAGTTTTCACGTCTTTGGTAAGGTACTTATTCTTGTCAAATAGGTCTTTCATCCTGACAAAAGCCAACCCAGGGAGAGAGCTCAGGCTCTATCTTCCTATGCAGTCTTTCCTTCAGTTTTAAGTGTACTTGGAAAGCCAAGGAAGTCTTATCAGTTAAGTTATTGCTTAACTGATAAGCAATAACTTATAGTTATTGCTTACTACTCTTAGGAGTTAAGAGAATCATTTAATTTGCTCTTCTTCTCAAGCTACAAGTTCCCGAGTCTGAAACACTGTGTAACTGGAGGGGAAGCACTCAATCCTGAAGTGTATGCAAAGTGGAAAATCCAGACAGGGCTGGATATCCATGAAGGTTATGGCCAGAGCGAAACAGTACGTTTGCATTAATTCTTGCAGTATACCCATTCAAAGGTAACAATACCAGAGCTATGATGTCCTTGATAAATCAATGAAAAAGGTAAGAAGCACTTATATGATTGAAAAAAAAAATACAACCAGCTTTGTATAATTGTGATTATATAGTTCCAGAATCAGCAAGCTGCATATTTTAATGGTTTAGATCCTTGCAATAAACATGCCAGTGACACTCTAGGTCAAATAAGTTGCAGGAGATCCCTTTGTCATCTTTACTTAAAAAAACCCCTGAAAAATAATGTGCTCCATCTATCTATTTTGCCTGTCTGAGGTTTTAATGGCAAATGTTAAACCAGCTCACTTCCCAGACTTCTCTGTAAGTGAACATTAACAAAGCTATTAAGATTCAGATCTCAGGCCTTCTCTTATTTTGCCCTTGAAATTGTCCCAAATTAATTGTCCCATTATTGAAATAAGATCTGTAATAATTTCACATCTGCTGTCCTGCGAAGTCAAGTGTTTGCAGGACAACCCACTGGTTCAGACTCAACAAAATCAAGCTCACACAGGTCTGACCTGAAATGCCTCTCAATGCCTCTCTGATGTTCTTAAGAACCACAGAGCTCTGGTCCTGATTCAGCCCTTGTCACAACAAAGTCACAAAGAGGAGCCTTGTCTAACACAAACAATAATAAGTTTTACAAGATGTTGCAACAATTTTTAAAAAT